ACTTGCAATTGCCCTACATTTTTTTTTTCATTAACCAAATCAATTTAAAGAAGATAAATTTGCACTTTCCTTTCGATTTCTTAACACTAATTACAATTTCTATTATCTCACAACCTCGTATTTAAAATATCAAACCTTATATTTGAGCATAAGAATCCAATGTTTTTAATCCCGAACCGAAGGTCAAACCGTTTTGATCTTTGGTTCATGGTTTGATCGGTTCAATCGATTTAACCGATAAAACCGTCGAGTTGATCAAACTATTATAAATATATTATTCTGTAAAATATTTCATAAGGTATTAATTGGGCGCAGTGGTAAGTGACTGATTTGATAAATGAAAGATCACAAGTTCGAGCTTGGGTGAGAACAAATTTTAATATAATTGTGGTTTTAAAGATAGAATAAATATATTGTAAAGCAAAAAATAACAAATAAAAGGTTGTGTCTCAAGTGGTTGAGTATTTGTTTTATGTCATAGAGAATGAGTGTTCGAATCCCATGGGTGTCATCAATAATTTAGTTAAAAGTTTTGAAAATTCTATTAGATAAATAAATTTTCAAGTACTCAATGACATAAGAATGGTATCGTCCTAATGGTAAAGCCTTGAAATTAAGGCTTCGAGGTCGTGAGGAGACAAAATTTTGAAGATTTTATGTCCAACCATTGAACCGTTCGGTCGAACGGTTTATCGATTTGACCGATTTCAATGGTTCTTATCGGTTTTAAGTGGTTTACAATTCAAACGGTTTAAAAGATACAATCGAACCGTTTGTACCATCGGGTATCGGTTCAACCAGTCCGACCGACCAATCCGGTCCAGTTTTCAAAACATTGTAAGAATCTTCAATTATGTGTTATTAAGTTTAATAATCAAGCATAAACTAACTAACTTTGCCTCTTTGGCTTCCATCTTTTGCTCTGCAATCTTTTAACTATATATGTGTACTCTAGTGAAAATGAGCACCGGTTTTGCAAATCTGAGTCGTATCAAGACAATAGTCAAAACCGATAATCCTTTGGGCTTCATTAGTGGCAAAGGGTACCTATACAGATCCTTATTCCCTTCAAAAGAGCTGGCGTTAAATCTTGGAAAATCATTGCTTATGTTCCCTAAAGAAGCCAAAATGGGACTAGAAAGCTTATTTAATGAAACATCAAAAGCATACAGGTGTATAGGAGACCCAATTGCAAGGAATTTACCCAAATAGCAAATTGACATGAAGATCTATGACGTTTAGGTAAGCGCACAATGCAAGCCATGGAAAGATCTCACGGTCAAGTCGATTGGGGGAGAGATTCAAAATTGCTAGATTGACGAAGTATTACAAATCTTGGGGGATGGGTTTGGAGATTAAGTTGGAGGAGAAGTCAAGGGATTGAAGATTGGTATAGTTTGAGAGAAAAGGAGAAATGTACCTTGGTGAAAGAAACTAGAGAGAGAAAGCTTATAGATGCAACCATCTTTATAGGTGGCACGAGGGTAAATTGGAGGTGAATCTGTTGTAGAGGCTAGCAAAGTTAGATTTGGTTCAGTTTTAAAGATTCTTCGGTGGGTCTTTGAAGGAAAGTGTGAATTTATCTTCTTCGAATTGATTAGGTTAATGGAGAAAAAAGTAGGGCAATTGTAGGTTAAGGAGTTATGATTTACA